ACTTGTATTAGCTCCCAGTTTTCCAGCCCCCCCCTCTCCCCCCCTTACAAGGTTCAGCAAAAAATCGCCCTGTTCCCTACTCGGCTTGCAGCGCTTCTCCCTTCCCTTCTCTGTTTAACTTACTCTTCGGTTGGATACCCCGGTCCATACGCTTTTGAAGCTGCTCAAACCGTACAAGGAAACTCAACATATCTCCAATTTAACCCCTCAAGTATAGCGCTGTATCCTGGCATGCTGTCCTTTTAACTTTCCATATTTACTAAGCACCTACCCAGTAGGAGCTACCGGTGGTAAACAGCCATACAGCAGCTCATTAGGGGCCCTGGGATCCCCTATCCCTCCATTTCACATTTGAAACATCTGCAACACAATGAAAGTGAAAGCCCCCCTTCCCTCTCTCCTAACCAGGACACCACGAAAAGCACACCCCAACATACCACCACTTTTTCCAATCAAATCACATCCCCCCAATATTGAGAGTCTAATGAGGAAGCAATTTTTGAAACTTCAACTTTTTTGAAACTTTTGACAAGAATACACAATGGTGGGACATTCAATACCTACAAAAATACTTAGACCTAAAAATCACCCCCAGGGGTTTGAGAATAAAAAACCGATGCGATTTCCTAGACGACAGCATGTCAGAGTGAAGGCTGAAGTGATAGACATTTAAGTCATCTGGACTAACAGCCCTTTAACCTTTTGTACAGGATTTTGCTGTTCAGTTTTCATGGGATGGTAGACCCCACAGCACCCACAAACCTATGAATACATTAGAAATATATATAACAAAAATAAATGGAGACTATACAACGGTATTAGTGGAAAATATTGCCTGTTGCCCTTTATTGGGGTTAAAAGCAAAATATATATTATTCATTTAAATTGAACAACACTTTTTTAAAACTTCAACCATAAGATCTATACACACATAAACTTTTAAAACCAGTTAGAACTTCAAACATAAATTAGCTCAGTCACCCAGACTCGAGCCATACTCATCACACGAGTCCAATATAACCTTAAACACTGTCCAAACACATAGGCCCCGTTCCCACTGCGCGATATGCAAATCGCGCTTTTGTCGCGCGATTTGCATATTGCGCGACATCGCGAGATTTGCCACGCGATATCGCGCTCAAGCTTGCATTGAGCAAGCTTGAATCGCGGCTAAATCCGCTCCAAAAAGGGTCCTGCTGTAGCGACACACGACCCGCGACAGCAGGACCCTTTGCCCCATTGAAATGCATTGGAGCGCGATATCGCGCGGTAATTTGCCGCGATAACGCAGGAATTACCGCGCGATAAATCGCTCAATGTGAACGGGGCTATATGTGGGCAACAATACCCCCAAAAAAGGATAGCCGCAACAAGGGAGAGAGGTAGGTTGTGTTGAAAAAGATCACTGCTGAGGAGAGCTTCTGACTGGAAACATTTAAAGGTGAGTCCAACAGCTGATTGGTTGTTTATTTTTTCCCTCCAAAACTAGGTAACTAATCACGACCACCTTAGTCCTGAGATCTTCCTAGTGACAGCAATCTCCAGGCAGAGTTGAAGTGACAGCTGGCAAGGGTAACCTGAAACAGACGAAATGGGGAAACCAGAAACAGCCCACAGAAAGTTCTAGAAACGCTGTACCTTGCTGTGACTAAACCTACTGTTAAATTAGTAAATTAAGTGAGCGCAGGGGAGTGACACAATCCCATGGGGCCACTTCATTAAATTTGTGGCCATAACAATATACATATGATGTGGTGCCGTAACTACAATATCACTTTGGGTAGCACGTAACGTTCCACATCCATTTTATATCAAAACAAAATACTCCACATCAGAGCAATATTAATGTACTTTAGGAGTGACCTAATGTCAGTGTATAGTGGGCTAATGCCTGCTATCTGCTATCAGCGCAGAGCCAGATGTATCCTAACAATATTGTTGGGAGCCACCCGGCTGCCTGATTGACAGCTGGCTCTGCCTCTCTCGAGCCAGAGCCAGCTGTGCCCACCCCCCTCCCCTGTCTGTCCCTCCGATGAGTGCTACAGGAACAAAGAGGGGAGGAAGGAATCCCTTTGGGGGCAGTGACTGACACAGACATCCCAACCTGCAAAACCTTATTTCAGGGAGGTTCCCGTCTCATTTCAGGGAGGTGCCCTTTCTGTTTGTTTTTTTACAGCGGCCGTCGTGAGAATATAAAATAAATAATAATGATAATTTAATATATATATATATATAAACGCTGAGGAGTAAAGTCCCTGATACACAGTTGACTAGTTGCTATGGGCAGCAAATGAAATAAATGTTCTCTATAACTAGACAACCAGGACATATAATTGATTCTATATTATCCAGAAAGGGTTAACAGCACTCTCTCAACCCTGCAGCAGTAGATCTCAGTGCCTGTACCTGCTCTCAATAGTAGTCTATGTCCGCCGTCTCTGTGCAGCAAGTAGCGTCTTCCTTCTGAGACAGAGCCAAGCGAATGGTTTACTCAGAGTAAACCTTTCAGGGAGAAAATGCCTCTCTTGCGGACGTCAGGGAGCCGCTATCTAATTGAGGGAGACTCCCTGAACATCAGGGAGACTTGAGATCCCTGCTGACAGTCACAGGAGACTGTGAGCTGAGTAATCAGTGGTCACATGATCACCCAGATCTCAGTATACAGAGCCGGCATGTGACAGCTGCATAACAGCTCCAAGTATTGCAAAAGAATATATTTTCCTCTCTCAATACTTTTGCTTTAATTTCCAAGGTATATCTGTAGGGTGTTCGCTGCCACTCCCCACTCCTACAGGTTTATTATAAGCCCGTGTTTTACCCCTATACTTCTCAGCTCCATCTAGGGGCGCTAGCTCCATGCATACAGCATCCGCCCACCTATATGGTGGTAGTTTTATAAACAAACACGCTAGAGTGGGCGACCCTCTTCCTGCCAGCTGCTGAACGTATGGCCCAATCAGCGCAGGAATGACCGCTCTGGCTGGTTTACATGTGCAGTGTGCTCTCTCTCTGTTGCAGTAGTGGGTGAGCTCAGCATTGTGCAACAGAGGAAGAGAGCATGAGCGGCCCATGCGCAGGATTGGACTGAGCCAGAGCGCTCATTCCTGCACTGATTAGGGTTGCCACCCGTCCGGTTTTCAACCGGACAGTCTGGGTTTGGCGTCTTGTGTACGGGTGTCCAGCCAGCGGGCACCCGTACACAAGACACTCTGCTGACACCGGCACTTTAAATTTTCTCGCAGATGCGGCTGCGAGGTCCTTGGTAAGTGCGATCCACGGCAGCCGCTGCCGCATCTGCCTGAAACCGGATCTTCCTCTGAGCTGCGGGCAGCCTGTGTCTGTTTACAGGTGCCCGCAGCTCAGAGGAAGAGTCGGGTGGCAAATCGGATGATGGGTCCGCATGTGGGGGCTGGTGGCTTTCTTTAAACCTGTGGACTACTTATTAATATACTACAGAAGCTGCAATGCACAGGTACTTATTTTGGAAATAGGATGTAAAGGTGAACTAACCCTTTAAAGCAAGGATGGGCAACTCCGGCCCTCCAGCTGTGCTTTACCTACAAATCCCAACATGCCTCTCAGACTTATGCTTGTAAAGGTGCCCATACACTGCACTAGTCTCGCACGAGAATCGTGGGAAATCCCGCAATCGTACGAGAATCGTGCAGTGTGAATGAAGGCGTGCGACCGTTTCTACTGTACGGTCGCACGTCTTTTGTTTAAGGAGCATGCTAGAAAAAGCGTACACTGCCCGTTCAGCATTGCGGTCATCGGAAGCCTGCCCCTCAAGTATGATCTGCCTGTCCAAGATGGGCAGATCGTACGTTTTTTTAATTACTTTACAACCATCGCAAGACTAAGGTCTTGCGATGGTTGTAAAGTGTATGGGCACATTAACTGTCAGTTTTGCAATGCCTCATGGGACTTGTAGTTCCACAACAGCTGGATGGCCGGATTTGGCCACCTCTGCTTTAAAGTGGCCCTGTCATTAGTAAAAATTATTGGAACAGGGCAAACCTGGAATGTAAGTAAGTGAATGCATACCTTTCCTGCTGCATGCGCCACCAGTTCAATGGAAATCTTCAATGAGTGGGCAGAAAAAAATGTTTTGCCTGCGGCGCTTGGGGTGTCATTAAGTCCCTGTTTACACCTGGGCATTTTGACGCTCAAAGCTAAGTGCGACAAAACTCTCAACGCAAGAAATCCTGTCCATTTCTATGGCCGCTGTTCACACCTGAGTGTTTTGTCGCAGCTAAACCCTGGAAAAGGAACATGAGCTTCTTTCGGACAGATTACAGCACATTTGGCTGCATCGACTTCCATGGAAGTGCATTAAAATGCATTTTGTACACTTCTGTGCACGTTTACGCACACGTTTCCTCATTCACAGCAATGCATTTCGATCTGCTCAGTAAAACACAGGTCTTTGTGCATGCACGTCTAACACGCATACAAATTTGCAAAACGCGCACACCGTGCGAGGGAAAGACGTGTGTAAAACGCACGGAAATACTGACGCCTAGGTGTGAACGGAACCTACCAAGTAACGACGCCACAAGCACATCACATGTGTCACTGCGTTGTATGAACGAGCATCAGTGCACATCACCAGTTCAGGCACCCGGCACTGTGCACTTCGGTACAAATGGGCTGGATAAGGAGCCTGCAAAAGCTGGAACACTGCACCCACAATTTGCTTATCACAGTTGCAATGGTCTGCAGGATCCAACACAGAGAAGAAATGCACTTTTTTTTTTTTGTGTCAATATGCATTTCATATTCTTGAGACTGGTGCCTTTAAACTGACCTATCTTTATACATTCACCTGGAAGAATTCAGACTTCCCCTCTAAGCCATCCAAATAGTAAAGGGATTTTTATACTATGATATAAACTAATAGCAGAGACAACACTGGGCCGGGCTGAGACATCCAGCAGACCTAAGGAGCCCTGACATCCCTATAATGCCTTCATTGCCCCTGCACTAGACAGCAGCTGATCACATGACCGCATGTCACATGACTCGCCTTTTAAACATGGCGGCGTCCGGCATCCCGCAGTGGAACGATAGAGCGGAGACGCTGCATCGGAGGCTGGAGGGTCTGCGGGAGGCGGACAGGGACGGTGAGGAGCGGAGGAGATCGGGTTCGGGGGCAGACTTGGTTCAGTGATGACATTAGAGTTCAGATTTGGATAAGGAGGGGAGACAGCAGCAGCAGGGTGTGGTCTGACCGATTAGGGGCACATGTGACACCCGAGGATTGGCATGACAACTGCTCAGCCTTGTATAGCCTGTCACTGTAAAGTTTATGTAGAACTACAGGTGACAGTATAATCTGCCGGGTGGTGTAGGTGCACACCAGCATTTATCTCTCTAGTATTAAGATCATGGAAGGATATGCTTTGTTTACATTCTGTAGTCTGCAGTCTAAAGTTGCAGACTGCAGCAAGCCATGCTTGCAAGATCAGACTGCCATACACATGCTTTTTCTACCAATAAGCTAGTTTGCAAAAAAGCCAGGGTTGTCCCTATAATGAGGCAGCCTGGGGTTGTTGTCTCAGGTGGCATCTCTTTGGGTCATGTGAGGGTCAGCATATAGAATGGCATGGTTGCTTTCTTGCATAATGCCTGCAGCCCCCTTTCTGACCAGAGTGTCCCAGGTTAGAGCCGGGCGGGGAGAAGTTTAAGGACCCTACACATCTATCCGCGCAGTTCTTAACAACCTGGGACGCTTTAACCAGTGTCCCGTCCAGCCAACTCAACAATCACCACGTGTGTCATGGCAGTTAGCTCGCCAGGGATGACCTCATCAAATATGATAAATCTTTTAAAGAATATTTAATCAAAAAAAAAAAACATACTGAAGTCAATTTACGAAAGCTGCAACAGATGCCCATGGCAACCAATCCGATTCTTTCATTCCCTTTCAAAGCTTAACTGAACAAAATGAAAAGAGAAGCTGATTGGTTACTATGGGTTTCTGCCTGCTCCAGTTTTGATAAATGCAGCTTACCAGTCCTTAGAAGTGGTGGCTGCATTCGTTTTCATAGTTCAGTACAATGAACACCTGTTGATCCTGCCAGAAATGCAGAGTCCTTGTCACTTCCTGTGAGCTGAACTGAAAGGACAAATCCTGTTGTCTTCCTGATGTAAACAATGAATCCCCCTTCACCCATGTGACAGAAATGAAGAGAGGAAGACCAAGACTTGATTGAAGTTCAGCTCTGGTGACAACCATTGCTCCCTCTATGGATACAGTGGAGGGTAGTGTTGTCGGGTAGCAGAGGGTTGGACAGGAACCCTAAGGCCTTGTTCACACCAAGCGCGTTCCAGGAGGAGAGCAGATCTGTTAGACCGGATCAAAACTGCGCCCAATGTATTCCAATGGTATTTTGGGCTCAGCTTTCAGTTCCAGAGCATGTAACGAAAAACTGCAGCAAGACCTATTTTAACTGCTCTAGAACGCACTGAAAGCCCATTTTAAACTAAAATATATATATATTTAACCCAAAACGGCCTGGAGCGCATCAAAAATGCGGCAAAAATGCGGCCCAACCCACTGCACTGTGTGTGCAGAAACTCGTGCAGATATGGTCTTCATTTGGTGTGAACAAGCCCTTACAGAAGACGAATGAATCCACCACATCTAAAGACGTGTATGCTGCAACATATATCTGGACAGGATTCTAGATAGTGTTCCAGCAAATAGTGAAAGTGACATTAAACCCTCAGATTTTTTATCATAAACCAATACTGTAATGTGCGCCTTACTGTAATCCATGGTTGTTTCCCTTCTCTTTGCTGCTCTTCCTTTTAAATCCTCATGTCTTCTCATGCTTGGGGAGAACTTCCCTTTGCAGCTCAGGGCCTCTTCCTGTAGTGCTGGCTCAGGTTACAAGCCTATACAAACCAACACACAGACACCGTGTATCCATTCCTGAGACAAGGCAGTCTGCTGCAAGACAGAAGTTCTGCCCAGCATGAGAACAGATACAGATTTAAAAGGAAGAGCAGCAAAGAGAAGGGAAACAACCATGGATTACAGTAAGGCACACATTACAGTATTGGTTTATGTTAAAAAATCCGAGGGTTTAAGGAAGTCTCTGACCATCTTCTGTGGCGTGTCTGCATTCTCTGACCATTTCCTGCAGTGTTTGCCCGTCTCCTGGGGTCGCCTCTCTGGCCGTCTCCTGGGGTCGCCTCTCTGGCCGTCTCCTGGGGTCGCCTTTCTGGCCTCTGGCTGTCTCTCTTTTTTGTAATTTTAAACATCATCTGTAGTATGTTTGCAGCATCTGACCATCTCTTGTAGCATGCACATAGTCTTTGATTGCATTTCTGCAGTCTCTGAGAGATTTCTGTAGAATTTTATATTCACTAAATATTATGTGTGGCCCATTGGTGATGTCAGGGGCCGAACTTGAGTCCCCCTATTTCAAGTGAGTAGACCACCACTGGTATAGACAATAGAGATATATGTTTGTGATTATGCACAATGAAGACAATTGCATATACACAGAGCTATTTGTTGCACCGTCCACTATGTTCTCAGTGGCCGTGTGTATAAATGAATATACTATGTGTATGGTAGATCTCATTTATTGACTTCACAATGGAGTTCATTAAGCTTCCTCCTTTGCAGTGTTTGCAGTACAGCTTAGTATAGCACCTTATACAATATTCATAACATTGAGAGTAATAAATGGTCCATTAGTGCTCCCTATAAACACATCAGTGATAACACAATTTCTGACCGTTCATGATGATGAAATCATGCTTCTTTACTTCTTGTTCAGCCTTTAGGCATCTGAGATTTTGTGGGTTAATAACAGCACCTTACCGAGTCATTTGCAGTATGTCTTTAATTTCTGTAGTTCAAATCTGCAACATTTTTGCAATGTACAGTGTAAGGGAGCGTTCTGCACAATAAATAGAATAGGAAACCTGTGAACAGTAAATACAGTTGATGAAGCTTTTAATCCGTTCGAAGCAGAGTTTTGATCAGACTGAATAATTACCAGATTTCTGTATATTTCAGTAATGCCAGCGCCAGCTCTTTAATCCGATTCCCATCTCCAGGCCCTGGGTTGTCAAAGCTGGTGGGAAAATCTTGCACCTGGTGTCTCTGTGGGGTACAGGAAGTTGGCGTGTGATTCAGTCCACCAGGATGGGGACATAGATGATGTGTCAATTTTGGGTGGGATGTAAACCCTAAGGCCCTTTTCACTATCCGATCTGGAGAGGAGCTGTGCATGGATCCCCTCCTAATCGGAGCGGTATGGATCAGATGTCACCGCTGTGACATGGTGTCCGTCCAATTTTTTTTAACCATCTTGCGATGGAGGAAAAACCTGATATCCGTACCCCATGTGACCATTTACATCAGATTACCCCTCATCTGCCACGATCAGGTTTGGCAAACCGGAACACCGTTCCCTTTGTTTTTCAGGACCTGACTGGAGCCAGGGGCAACTTGATGTAAATGGACACCTGTACGTTTAGAACCAGCTACCCATAGACTTGTATTTGTATTCGATCGAGTCCGCCTGAAAACTGAATGACTTCTAGGATCTGTGCCGATGGCCTTTTTGTTTGCTTCATGCGGGTTTTACATCTTTGCAAATATATAGGAATGCAAAACCTGCTTTAGAAGTTCAAATGCATGTGACAAGATAATCAACTGCAGGTCAAATGTACCCGGCAATGAGTTTGAGTGATCTCGGAAGCTACTCAAACTGGTATTAAAATGATGCCATCAACACAGGCAATTAGTTTGCTAAAGTGTCGTGTATCATAAACAATTTCCGTTTGCATTGAAATGGCCACTTGCAGTGCCAATTGGAATCCCATGTGACAGGGCGACGATGCAGGAGCAAAAAACTGGGAGACCGGTACAGAGCATGCTCATGTTTTAACAGGAAGTACCAGAACAAGGTTTTTCAAGGTGCGATCAGCAAATGTTTTTTTTTTTTTTGTAATAACTACGGATTTGGAAATATAAAGATTAAATAAACAAAACAAAAAAGCCATGTACTACTGTTAGTGTAGTAGGCAAAGCGCTAGAAACGCCCAGTGTCACATTGCACAGGTGTGTATGGGGTGTAAGCGATTGAGTGTTCATGTGCAATAAAGGGTTACTCCACTTTTGTTCAATACTTAAAATGTGTCATATACAGGGGTATGGAATTTTTTTTTTTTTTTTTACTACTTGTCCAGGTACTATAGCACGGGCCCCATCTTTTTGTCCCACGTGACACTCTAGTTGTCGTGATATAAAAAATACTTTTAACAAAAACTATATTTAACTGTGCAAAGAAGTGCTTCTTATTGGTCAGCACAGTTAGATGAGTGCTCACAATGTGTGAGTGAAATTCAATATCCATAGTGCAGGGCGGCAGTATGGGGTACAGACGGTACATCTGTACTGGTGAAAGGGAGGGACAGTTTGCCAAAAGGTAAGTATAGAGGGGGGTAGGAGGCCAGATTTGAGCGGGTAATTCAATTTTCCTAAACTACTTGGGCAAGTGAACTTACCCTTTAAAGGAGAACTATGAGGTGAGTGCTTTTCACTCACCTCATAGTTCTAGCCGACCTGTGACAGTCTCAGTGTCACAGGTCGGCTAGAACTATGAGGTGAGTGCTTTTCACTCACCTCATAGTTCTAGCCGACCTGTGACAGTCTCAGTGTCACAGGTCGGCTAGAACTATGAGGTGAGTGCTTTTCACTCACCTCATAGTTCTAGCCGACCTGTGACAGTCTCAGTGTCACAGGTCGGCTAGAACTATGAGGTGAGTGCTTTTCACTCACCTCATAGTTCTAGCCGACCTGTGACAGTCTCAGTGTCACAGGTCGGCTAGAACTATGAGGTGAGTGCTTTTCACTCACCTCATAGTTCTAGCCGACCTGTGACAGTCTCAGTGTCACAGGTCGGCTAGAACTATGAGGTGAGTGAAAAGCACTCACCTCATAGTTCTCCTTTAATGCACATTGTGAGTGTTCGAGAGCGCTGCTGCCTAGCTACCACAAAATTGTACACACTTATGATGCGTCTATTTGTATGTAGATGGCGGGGACAGCGGGGTTGGTTTTTAAAATTATTATTTTTTTTTTTATCAATTTATATTTTATTTTTTTCCCACTTAACTATATTGCTATCACACAGGGGCTAACAAGTAACACATGTAAGGGGTTCGGGCACCCTGGAGGGGGTAGACTGAATGTCCAGGCATTGCCGGAGGACCCGCATCCAGGAGGGGGGGCCTCTGGCCTCCCCCCTCCATCCCTGACCAAGCCTGGCCACAGACAGAGCAGCATGGCGGAGTTGAAGAGTTCCAACGGGTTGGTGTGGAATCCCCAGCTGGGCTGAGCTGCAGAACCCAGTCAGGAAGCTGGAGAATCTGAATGAGCAGCCCCAGAACCAAGCCAGCGCTGTCAGCAGCTGCCCCAGCAGCCCGTACCTGCTGATGCCGCCGCCACCTCCTTATTCTGCAGTTCATCAGCCGGGCACATGTCTGTCCCGGCCCGTTGCACTGTACTAGGCCAGTGCCTCCTTGAAGCGGCGATCAGAGGATCTGAAGGTGAAGTGTTGCAGAGCAGGTATCTGTGGGGATGGAAGAACAGCGGGAAAGGAGGAGGTTGTGCCAGTGTAGATGTGTGTGCATGCTCTGCAGTTATTGCTCTTGACCTCTGAACTGCATGTTACTCCTGAACTCTGCCTTATTTACTCCTGAAATCTGCACTGTGTGTTACTGCAGACCTCTCAATTCTGCATTGTTTACTCCTTTGTGCTACATTATTTGCCCCTGACCTCTGCGCTCTGCCTTATTTACGCCTGACTTCTGTCCTACTCCTTACGCTGAATTCTACATTATGCACTCCTGAACGCTGCGCTACATATTTCTGACCTCTACCCTCTTACTCCTGACCCCTGCACTCTGCATTAGTTACTCCTGACCCCTCTACTATAAATTGCATACTTTTGATCTAGAGCTGCAGCTAACGATTATTTTCAAAATCGATTAGTTAGCCGATTTATTAAGTTCGATTAATCGGATAAACTTTTTTTTTTATTTAAAAGAATGGCTCCAATGATGGACTACTAGTTTGTATTGAGATTGCAGTGCATCACAGGAGCGAGCTTGGAGCGGTGGAAGTAAAAAAGAAAAAAAAAAGTGTGGTGTGCAATATAGTGAAATGAAAAGTGTAAAATTATGCAGCAATGAATGCAGAATGGCACCGCCTATAGAGGACTACAAATCCCAGCAATAGTACATTATACAGCACAATGCGGAATTCCACCAGCGATAGAGGACTACAACACCCAGCAATACATTATAGCTGGCGGTATTCTGCCTTGCGCTGTATAATGTATTTCTGGGTGTTGTAGTCCTCTATAGCTGGTGGTATTCTGCATTGCTGTATAATGTATTGCTGGGTGTTGTAGTCCTCTATAGCTGGTAGTATTCTGCATTGCGCTGTATAATGTATTATTAATGCAGAATACCACCAGCTATATTGGGATACAACAAATCCCAGCAATAGATTATACATACAGTGTACAATGTATTGCTGGGATTTGTAGTCCTCTATAGCTGATGGTGCATTGCTCTGTATAATATAGAGTACAATGTACCATCAGCTATAGAGGAATACAAATCCCAGCGATACATTATAGAGCACCATGTGTGGGGAGGGGAAGGCTTACCTGAGCAGTCTTCCAGCAACTTGTTTCTGAGATCGGGCCTGTCTATCGGTGGCGGTCATCCGCCCACACCTGCTCCTCCTTGCTTCTTCTCCCCGTGTCCCAGTGCCGATCGTGGATTTGGGCGGACAGTGAGCGTGAGGCGCAGGGAGGAGGCGCGGCGTGTGGATGCGGGTGTACGGGTCTGGCAGTGGAGAGCGTGAGGTGGGGAGGAGGAGGTGTGGCGCGCAGCGTCTGTGGAGACGTGAACAGGGCCAACCAATCAGAAGCCAATTAATCGATGATTGAAAAAGTTGACAACTTTTTCAATAATCGATTATGTCGATTTGTTGTTGCTGTCCTATTTTGATCCCTACACTGTATACTGAGGCTCAAGTTTAAAATTTTCCAAGTGCGATTTTTGCCACACCCACAATGCGCCACATACACCGCCTCACTCCCCTAGGTGACTGGGGGGCCCCTGCAAGATGGGCTGCATGGGGCCCCATGATTTCCAGTGGCGGCCCTCTTTGGAGAGGACAGGTTCACTTTATGGAGCCTGCCCTCCCAATACAGAAGATCAAGCACAACACAGATCACTTGTACAAAACAAGCAGCGACTCCCCTGCTCTACGTTTAGCTTGGCTTGCCTGCAGCTAAATGTAAAGACAAAAAACACCTGCCAGGCGCCTGGAACTGCATGTGTCGGGCATCGCACACCCCTGATATATAAATACTACATAAGCCATACCTGGCAAAAAAAAAAAAGCATGGTTGGATTTCTATAGGATGTTACTTACGTGGTTGTTGTGTACAGAATGCCCCTAGAAACCTATCTCCTGTGATTGGCTCAAATCTGTTCCTAGAAGTTTTTCTTATTACATCTGGGACTGCTCAAGTGACTATAGCGATAAGGCTACATGGCACTGAAGTTATAGGATATAGCTCAAACATTTTATTTTGGACAGAGTGGGGGAAGGGTTTAAGACCTGCATCCCTATTAACGTTTTTTCCCTCACCCACTTTTCCAGGTCTAGTGTTCACTGACATAGGAAATGAGGGAAATCTAGCCAGTGGGGAGTGGGACACAATCGGCACTAATTACCTAAAACGCGTCTAACCCTTCCCTGCTACACTGAAAAGTAAATGAAAAAGTTTGGACTCACTTTCCACATAAAACCATGTTTTTCTTTATTTAACAGACCCACTGTTATTAAAAGCATCTGCTACATTACAAAGTTTGAAGGACACGTGTTCCAAAGACACCCAGAACTGTAATAGATTACCATGTCTGCGCCTTTATAGTCAGGTAAAGTATTATCACAATGCTCTCTATAGGATTAATCATTGTAATTGTACATTCTTTATAAATGTCAGCTTATTCCTTCAGATAAACACCTATTTGGATTTTAAAGTATATTTGCATATAGTGGTAGAGCCAACAGAGCACATGCTTCATGTTTCTATCTAATATTAGCTAGCATGTTGTCATTAAAGCATCTGTCTGAGCCTGTCACATGAATTGTTTAATCTGCTTAAAGATGCATTTTTTTTTTTTACGTATTAAATGTTTATTGTGTTTTTTCAAGGGCTAAACATTAGACAAAGGTAGGTTGGTTTACATTGAGACAGGTAGTGTAAGCATAAAGGTGCCCATACACTGCACGATTCTCGTACGAGAATCGCGGGAAATCCCACGAATAACAATCGACATGTGTCACTTATTTTAGACAGAAAAAAGAATAATAAGCCCCCACCAGACATACATGGGGGCACGAACAGCGACACGGGCTGAAGGGAGTGGGTAAAGAGGGGGGGAGGGGCATGGGTCGGGTGCAGTTTTGCCAGGATCAACTAGAGGAACATACATCTCATGATAACTGTTACCAGGTGGGTATGTGTGTTTAGTCAGATGGTACATTAGGTGCATTTGGAGGTGAAAGATGCATTTTTAATACGTTTCATACTACTTTTAAAGTAGTAACAAACTGTGTTTGTGGAAAGGAGCCACCCTAAAACAGGACATCAGGGCCAGTGCTCAGGAGACCAGCTGATTCTTCAGGCTAAACAAGCTAAAACTTTTATGTCCTAGACATCTTAGTAACCGAGTTAGAGATAAGAAACTGTGAGGTATTTTACATCTCCAGTATCTTCCAAAAATTCAATTTTCTGTTTTCTTGCCCTTTTAGATTTGCAATAAAAAAAACATCCTGCATCAGTGTTGCTTTCACTCAACATCGCTTTGTGTGACATATGGTCCTGCCAGAATATTTGATGAGAGATGAGTGGATGTTATTCTCTCAATGCAGTAACATTTCTGGGGATCCAAATGTCTTGACATGAAGACACAATATTGCTATCAATTTTGGGTTGTAACTTTTATGGGTTGTTCACTCAGGCACTGGATGCTGTTTCACTGGGGAGAGCAGCTCAAAAGGTAGCCATGGCCCAACCACTGCACTGACCAAGGACGCCACAAGTACATCCTACTTTTTTGTTTAGGTGCCATTGGCAGGATTTACAACCTTCCAATCCCCCCATTCTGCAGCCGATCTAAATAAAATCCTAAATAATGGGGGGGGAAATGGATTAACTACAGCATTCTGGCCCATATAGAAATGGGTCGTTATCTACAGTGACGTTTCTGAAGACCTTTGTGATGCACATGGCTGACCTATGTTTTTTTATTTCACTCAGTTGTTTACCTTCCGCAATATAAAAGAACTGTTCTTCTGCAGGCTATATTAGACATTACTTACTATGAAGAGAATCGGCTTGTGGATGAAGAATTTGCGAACGATGACTCCCTGCAGAAAGTCCGAGAACTTATTCAGATTATTACAGAGCCAGAGACTTTATTTGAGGAGAGCAATGCTTCTAAACAGGTGCCTAAAATTGTTTCATTTATGTTTCTGATGCACCCATGTTAAAGGAAAATTAAAGCCTCGTATGTTTTTGCATATATCTACTGCTAGTAAACGGTAGATATATGCAAAAACATTTAAGAGAGAAAAAAAGTTTAAAAGGGTTAAAACTTACCTGTGTCTCCGCCGCACGCTCCCGTCCGAACATCTGAACATTCTCGGGCGGGCGCAAAGGATCATGGGGCTGGCGCATGCGCAGTTCACATCTTTGGCCGGGATACGAGGAGAGACACAAGGTAAATTAATGCAGCAGAGTGCACCCGCACAGACTCCATGGTACAGGAAGTGCCAGGAAGAGAGACGAGTCAGAGCTGGATCAGAGACCGGCGCCAGCGATGGACAGACTACTGGAAAGAAGATGATCGGATCAAGAGGCATCATTTAAGGTAAGTCCTTACACTAGCATTGGGAGGGGGAGGGTGGTAAAAAAAAAATTACTTTTTTTTTTTTTTACTGTCGCTTTAAATCCACAATAGGCTTTGTTCACATGGGCAGCAGAAGTTACTGTGCACTGAAAAAAGGAGGTTCGTGTGTTCAAGGGGAACTTTGCATTACAATACCATGCCACAAATGTGTAACAAGCAATTGGTACGTGGTTGTGGAGCAGTCCCATTAACAGCAGTGGTTGCGTTTGGCTAGCAGCATTGCCTGGCAAACGCGACTTGCTGTAAAAAATTTGCTACGGCATGTACACAAGCCTGAGCAGCCAGGTTTTGTGTGAGCAGCAAAAATGCTTATCAAGCGTTTTTATTTTCTTTAACCACCCGTGCAAACAAGGCCTTCGTGTTGGGAAAATGGAAGGAAACCTTTTTATTTTGACTGGCTACAAAATGTAGAAGATGTAAAAAGTATTCCTGTTTTTTGTTATATTGAAATCCTGCTGGAGAATTTTAAGCGAACGCAATTCTGAGTGACTGTACTCCACTTTGAGCTTTTAAAAGTCGTGGCCAAGAGCGAACACCACCACATGTCAGTAACAAAGTAAAACAAAATTGTAGAGGTACACAAGTCTCTTCTGGATAATGAATATTAGCGGTCATCTTCTGGTATCTTCCCTTAGGAAAATCTCGGCATTTTAAAAAGAACAGATACAATTTAAAGTAAGGAGACCCTTACTGTTTCTTATTGGTTGACAAAGGTTATAAATGGGGGGGGGGGGGTGTCCACATTATAAGCCAAAATGCAATTGAGTTGAATGTAAGCATATGTTATTTTTGAGGAAGTTTAATAATAAAAAAAAAAAAAAACAGATCTCAGTATTTTATGAGTGCAGATGAATAAATATCTTTTTTTTTTATATTTCAGCTACAATGAAATTGGGTGGGGAGAAAAATCACAATCATCTTCCTAGACAACAAGCCTACTTTAGGTAGATACAGAAGATCAGGCTTGAGAACAACTCCATCTGGAATGTTCTACGTCTTTACAGATGAAGTTTTCTCCTCCTTGAGATCTCTTTAGTCCTTGGGAGCATTACTAAGGATCCTCTTGAACCCATTAAAGATGCTACCATTAAATGGTTGTCTTTTGAAGATGGCTTTTTTGTTAGCTGTTACTGCAGCTAGAAGGGTGGGAGATCTTTTTCTTTATCCATTAAAGAGCCTTACTTTATGATTTTTCCAGATGGAGGCCTTCTTAAGCCTGGTCCTTGCCTGGTCCTTTTGTATCTACATAAGTAGACTTGCTGTCCTGGAAGAGTGTCAATGACACCATTATGGGTAAGTCTAACTGGGGATTTTTTTTTTTTTTATTAGCATTTCCACCTTGACATGGATGTTGAGGAATGCCTACATTGGCGGAGAGGAGCCTTGCTCTACATGTACTGTCATACAATTGGTGAAAGAGAGAACTGGAACCTGAGTGACCAGAGAACTTTCCACCAGGTAAACACAGCAACCTAATCAGCTCTGTAGATGCGATCATATGAGATGGCTAAGGCCGGCCTACACTGTTAGACTTTCAATCGGGAAAAATTCTGACAGTGGGATGCCCTGTTGGTTGGTTTAGTAATCTGCTTTTGTCAAAGAAGCCAGATCGAAAATGTTTGGCTGAACGGTGACTTCAGGCAATCAGCTGCAGTTACTAGTCATGCATTCTGACAGTGGTATGATCAGAATGAGAGGCCATGTGGTCTTTAATCCTAAATGTCCTTTGATATTGTTATGGGTTTCTTTTGTGAATAATCACTTGGTAGTGGCTGCACTTCCACCCGAAAGGACCCCAAACTGCAGAAAGGGACTTGGATAAGTCAGTTGAAGGAAAAAATAGAAGCCCCACCCAGCGAAGAGTCCAACTTCTGCATACGCCCTACCTCTGTACATGGTTTAATTTGATGGTCACTATTACTGTTATTTTCTTCAGTCCATATCTAATTCTCCAAGGGAATCTTCCCTGAATTGGCTCTTTCATGCTTTTATATCCTATATCAATAAAATAATTTTGGACTTTTTTTTCCCCCCTGTATTCTTTGCTTCAATGTATTGTGACAGCGGAAGTCTTTGACTGTCATACAGTACCCATAAGAGTAGATTTGGTCATCTGCATTGTTTAGTGTGGATGGAGGAATCTGTTAAATTTTTTGGTTTAGCTTGAAGGCTGAACAAT